AAAAAAAAAGCAGCAAAGGAAATATACATTACGTTACCGAATCACTCACAAACAGTGACGCTGCAGTAGTAAATTTTACCAACAACATTAATGTATTGTCAATACTTTATATATTCATTCCCCCTCAATGAGGTCCGTCGAGAAACACAGGAAACAATTACAACTAACTTACAAGTCAATAACTAGTAAGAATATAATAAATATTGTAAAATACAAGAGCAGTTAATGGATCTTTAAAGAAACCCTTCGTTTTCGAAATAGCTAGACGTATAAGAGGCTCCTCGAAGCCCAATTCCAGCACTTGCCCAATAAGCTCACAGTTCGGATCCGGTTCATCTTTAACATTAGGATCGGCTGGATGAAATGTACTTGGGCCAGCTACGTGATCTGCAACATCGATCGCTGATATGATGGAAAAGATATATAAAAAAACATCGGCACTTTTACAGAAAAAGAGGTGTCTTTTGCAACGCGGGATCAGTTGGCCCTAAGACTGGCTACATGTTGTCAGCGGGCTGGTCAGGGGCATATATTTTCCTTGCAGATCGTTTTGACGCATTTTTACTGTTAATTTTCAAGGCTTATACAGAACTATAAGGAAAAAAAGGCATGTTTGAAAAGATGATGTTTTATTCAATTTTTTAAGCATAAGCCCTAAAGAGGGCTTCCGGGTTAATGTAGAACCTCTGCAACCGGAACTAATTACTAAAAAGTACGTTCCCTGGAATAAAATATGGAATTTTAAGAAATAATGCCATTAGCATAAACAATGGAAGAAGAAAGAAATTAGAAAGAAGATTTAACGGAGAGGCTTGTAATACAAGGTTTTTTACTTTCTAAGTAAAATATTTAGAAAAAAACTCTTCATAATCCTTCTTCTGTGCACACCCCTCACAAAATCTATAAAGTTTCCTGACAGCGTTTACCGATTTAAATGTGAGGATAATGAAAACTCTAAAGTAGTTGTACTTCACTTCTAATTCCTTTTCCTGTTCATTCATCTTTTACTACAGACTCTAAAAAGCTTATCTTTTTGAACGATGTTTTTTATTCTGAAAACTGAACTTTTTT